ATGATAATGGTGTTTTGAATGGGAAATTGCACGCGCAATGTGGGGGTGGTGAAAGGCATATGAGAAGACAAGTCAATGTGACCCAACTTCCAATGCTGAACTCTTTCCCAACGTGAGCTGATGCGACCATGTCTATTAATGAACAGAATCAACAATCATTGTCCTCCTCCTCTTCCTCTCCTTTACATTCAACAATAACCAAATCTTATATCTCATTAATTAATAATTGATTTGTGATTTTATAATATAAAATTTTAGTTTTTTCTTATGGGTATTTGCTGATATAACGGGTCGGCATGCGCTTCTTGTATGGGCTACGGCCATCTAAACTGCTCACAAATTGTAGCCAGTAGGCTGTTTTAAGGTTACTTTAAAGATTACACCTTTATTTTTATTTTTTTACTTGCAGTTTTAGGATCTTACCCTGATTAATCTAAATTAATCTGTATCATATACCTAATTTTAATAGATAAATCTCTTTTTTTATCTATATAATAACTCAAACTAAAAATCTACTCAAATGATATCAACTTGATTATCACGCCCAAAATGTATCTTGAGATTGACATGAAGCATGTAATCCACGTAAAAAGTTGCTATTTTCAAGTTACGAAACAGAGCAAAGGTTGTCGTCTTCGTCTTTAATTGCAGAAAAAGAAAGAAAAAAGCAACGTGGTGACAGTATTACGGTTCGTTTTCTTTCAATCAAACGCTACTTCATTTTACATTTCCGGATTTTGGAATTAAAAAGATGGATAATTCATTTCATGACTGCCATGATTCGTACAGTAAATGTGTAAATTATACAGAGACAAATACTTTGCCGAAAAGTGGAAGGGTCAAGCGCAAGCTTTGTCGACCTCCTTGGGATCCTCATAGGAATACCTGAAAAACAAGTAACCCCCGGCGAGCCCCGAAACGACGGCCAATAAAACGCCACTGTTGAGGGACACGATAGCCAACATCAGGAGATACCCAATTGCCGAGTTGACTCCGAATAGCACGGCCGTCACGAATTCAGAGGAGCGTCGGTATTTGGGGACGAGAGGAACGGCCGCGGCGGCGGAAGGTAGGAATGGGGTGGAAGAGCCGAAGGATCCGAAACGGAGGCGACGGTCTTCCATGTACTGGTAAAACGAGGAGAAGATGAAACAAGCTAGTAGAGTGGGGAGATAACTCGGCCATGAATCGGGTTTCCATGAATCAATGAGCAGAGTCACATCTTTTCCCCAATATAAAGTCATATGCATCCAACGAAAAACTCTTTTAAGATTTTGATAGATCGACTTTGGTCTAGTCGGGAGTTCTGATCTCATATGAAACCATTTAGCTCTTACAATGGAGTTTTGATTAATTACGATCATGCCCTTTGTAGGATGCACCAAGCTTGGAATCAAAGTCTTTAATGGGGACATGCCACAAACTATCGTGTCTGTCATCTTTAATTATATTATAGGCCATAGCTTTTTTCAAACTAAACCCACGGTTAAAACATCAAGGGATGCACTCACCTGCACAGTGACAAATATGAAACAGATCATTATAAGGCCGATCCCCAATATATTGTTCGTCCGCATATCATTCTTCCTGGGCAACATCGGTCCGGCGTAGCACTCCGACATGGATATTAGCACGCTATTGCCTTTCATTGTGAGGGCAATGTCCGACATCAAATCGCCCATCGATTTGCCCCATGCCAATACGGTTAGACCAAGTACTGAAGATTTGATACAAAAGACCACACCTAATGCCACCAACAACGCGAGGAGTTCGCTCGCGATCATGTAAAACCAGACTATACTCATGATAAATCCTCTCGAAACCCATGGAAGCAAAAAGACGAAAACCGACAAGGTGAATGATCGGATTTAGTGAATAGATATGCAGGGACTCCGAGTATACCACCCTGGGTTACACCAATGAAGTACACGATTTCATGGAGTTATTTCATCATCTTACGCGTTCCACAAGCGAGAAGTATCTGTTCCAATGTAGCACTAGCCACAGCATAACCTTCAACCATCTCTCATTCTCTCTTCCACCATAGGGATCGTTAACCGCCTTGGAAGTGTCAATGACAACTCCAGCAATCGAAGAAACTTACAACACAAGAATAAAGACCGCTCTTTCGATGTTTCCGCATCTTTGCAACCCCATGTCAGTTCTACAGAGTCATCGGAATAGAATGCCACCTGAGATGCCCACATCCAGTGAGGTAGCCTATTTTTGAGTCCAGTTCGAGCAGCATCACATACTTATCTTCACTAGAAGATGAACCCACTTTAACAGGCAACAAAGGTGCTACATACCCCAACTTAAACACCCTAATGTTGATCCTAGCAACTAATGTCCCTAACAAAGGAATTCCTATCAATTTGAACCCTTTTATCAGCTATACAAGAGAAGTAATCCCAACAACAACACAAGTCACAACACAGCCCCTCCTAATACACAACAAATCCCCACATCACCTCAATTGTAACACCGGTAACTGTCGGCGACATCATCAACGAACTCGAAAAGCTTTTCCAAAGAACAGGAGAAGTAATCTGCCACAGTGTTTCTAGGAATTTTCCTTACAGGTTCTTTCTGTCATCATCTTCTTTGATATGCCGCCGTTTATATATACATTTCCCCTTTTTTCTGATAAAATTCGACCCAGAAACCCCCACAGAAAACGATACCTAGTTTTCATACAAGTTCACATGTTGTAAGATTCTTTTCTACCTAAATCTTTTCCTTCCAACTTATGCACGATTAAGACAAGTAGTAAAGTGTCATCGGCTACTCTAAAAATCATATTAAGACATGGAGGCATTTAGTTCCTATGAGACATTTAAAACATGCCTAGATTGTGTTCAAACAATAATAATGTAATAAAAGAAGCTGTAGCAGTTCTTTAGATGCCAAATACCGCCTACCTTGATTCTTTGCAGTTTTACGCAAACCTTCTTCTTAAGTTGTTTTTTTGTGAAAACCAAGCCCGAGCTGTGTGTTCATCAATCTGCTGTCTTGCTAACACCTGAAAAAAAATTGAAAAAATTATTATATGAACCCTCCTCACTATATCATTTATGATCCCAACTAACAAAAATTATTCACTCTATTTTTTCTCTTTATGAATCTTCACCTTTTAAAAGTATATATGAAAATGAATGATTATTTGAAAGTTAATTATGAATGGAATAATAACTTAGAAAATAAAATGAGATAAACGACTTTTATAGAATTGAGATCATAAATAACGTGATTAGGATAAAATAATTTCTACTAATAGGAGTGTGTCCAACTCAAGAAAAAAAAAGGACCGACAAAAGGAATAATTTACAGTTTACGTAACATTATCTCTACTCCGAGGTTTCTCTCCTCCAGCCTCCACCATACAAGAACCTTTCTATCTCAAGCTGCAATAATTTCCAGTTTCCCTGGCTCTCATCAAACATTGTTGGGTACTTGTCTTACTTCTTGTGATAGCCTTTGTACTTCAAATCATCTTCTTCTCGCCCATATCTTGCCATCTTCTTCGGTTTCAGTCCCTCCATTAAACAGCCAGTTACAGGTAACACTATATTACATTTTGAACAACTTGTCGTTTCTTTGTCTTTACTAGGTTTGCACTTGATGTTTGTTTTGTTTCGTTGTAGAAAGTGAGTTAAGCTTGGAGAAGGATTGGGTCCGGAGGATGTTGCGGTGGATGAAAAGGGTACTTTGTATACCGCAACCAGAGATAGGTGGATCAGAAAATTGCATCCGAATGGTTCACCGAAGGATTGGATGAAACTGGGAAGCACTACTATGCTCGGAATTGCAACAGCTAAACGAGGTGGCCTTTTTGTTTGTGATTGCAAAATGGAAAATTAAAAATATTTTTTTTACCCTAAATTAGGTTTGAAACCATGCATGATTTTACAACATGAACTGCCATGTTAAATTCTCACTTAAGTTTACATATGATGGTGTAAGAGTTCTTGCTTCACATGTCCATGGATCTGAAATCAGGTAAACTTCAAATCAGATCCTGTTGATTGATATTTGACTAGTAGTACTAATGTTGTTAATTTTGAACAGGTTTGCAGATGATGTGATCGAAGCATCGGATGGAAGTATATATTTCAGTGTAGCAAGAACCAAATTTGAACAAAACTGGCATCTCGACATGCTGGAGGCCAAACCATACGGCCAGCTTCTTAAATACTACCCATCGACAGCAGACCTTGATTCTGTTGGATGGCCTCTATTTTGCAAACGGCGTTGCGCTCTCCAAAGACACAGATTTCCTTCTTGTTTGTGAAACGAGGTAACACATTCAAGTCATCATTGCCACTGTGCCACAGTTTCCAAATATGTTGTCATGTTTGACCTTCGTCTTTAGATTCAGGTGCCTGAAATATTGGTTGAAAGGTGAGAGTAAAGGAAAGACGGAGATTTTCATCGAAAACCCTCCGGGGGACACGATAACATCAACTTAGCACCGGATGGTTCCTTCTGGATTGCTCTACTCCAGGTACTCGAAACACCAATATCTAAAAGTTCAACGACAAACACACCATTGAAATGGATTATACTGAATTTTTGGTACAGTTGGTTCCCGAGGGGGCGGAGCTGGTGCACACCTCCAAGGCACTGAAACGGGTTATCGAACTTCACTAAAATGATAGAACTTGTTGTGGGTGGAGAGAAGGAAAGGCAACAATGATCAATGTGGTGGCCGATGGCAACATACTCAAGTGGTTCGATGATCCTAATGGAACCATTATAACGTTTGTGACATCTTCTGTGGAGTTCGTGGACCATCTTTACCTGGGTAGTCTCAACAGTCTTTGTGGGAAAATTACCACTTAAATGAATTCACAGTGGGATGCCAAGGGGCAGGAGGGAGAAACGGATATGGCAAGTGATTGCATAGATATAGATGCATATGGCTAATAAAATCTCCAAAAGAATGATTCACAATGACTCCTTTTTTGGTTCTGATGAGTGATCCAATTAGCGTGAAATTCAAATTCCAGAAATAACATGAACTTTAATTCAAGCAGAGTATTAGATGATAATATAAAGTTTGAAACTACGAACCCTTTTTTCTACTCTCTCCCAAACATAATGATCAACTAAAGCACGATTTGGTCCATGCTTACTAGTCGCGCTCACTAATTGCTGTCAAATGTTCATCGATTTCCTCGGTTGACAACACTTGGAAAACTGGATCATCAGCTTTCACCACTCCCACCTGCCAAGAATGAAAGGATTCTTGTCAACCACAGTTCAAAAAGAGGGTAAACAAGAATAATTTCAGTTAACACAATGACTGCGGTTATATGTAATTACGTATGTAATTATATTAGAGAAACAACAGCAATTGGATTAGAGTGAGAATACACGAAAGATACATAATCCATTCGCACATTTAGATAGTTGCAGACTCATCATAGTAATAAAATCACTACAAACAAAGATGATCGGCTGACTCGTTATACCTCTATCTCGGTAGCCTTGAAATCCTCTTGAAGAACAGATTGCAGAGCCGAAATAGCAGTCTGTACAATAGTAGGAATAGAAAACATTAGACAAATGTGATAGTGTAAGCAAATGTTAAACTTGTGGCCTTTAACAACTTCCTCTAACATACATAAAGGATAAAATAGCATACCTGCACTGTTTCCTCATAAGTAAAAGCAGGGTCATTCTTCATTTTCTTTTCCAAGAAATTAATTGCCTCTTGTTCTTTCGATCCAGCACTGGTTGCCTGCAGAACATCAGTCAAAAATTCAATCTAAATGCATAATGCAAACCCTAAACCAACTAAAATTTAACCAAATTATTGTGGTCACATCTTGTACTACACTCTCAACAAAACAAAACTTCCATATAGAATATAGTCAAAGAGACCTAGTTGAGAAAACAGTTATGAATCATAACCATAGTAATAATATATGGCTTCTGGAACCAGGCATTTTGAACCAAAATCAAGAATCCAAACATGATGAGCAATAAAATCAACTTGCAAACTACCTTGTGACCATAAAAATGGCCTGCTGGATCACACTTGTAGAGTTGGGGTCCCTTTTCTTCGTCAATACCCAAAACCATGGCAACTTCACATACAAGGAAACAGAACATAGCAGAGTAAGTTACCTGGAATACACAATTACACATAAGCATATATCTGCTTGCATGTGTATTAACAACTCAAAAATTGCAAATCTCCCACGAAAAATATAAAGATAGAAAAACTTTTAAAACAAAATTATAGTTGTAGGATGTTGAAGAAATCATAGGTTTACCAACTCCAAGAGGCCTCATATAAGCATGTTGAGTATAAACCTGTGATTTGTCTGCAATCCTATACCAATAAAGCATGAGAGGCTAAATTAGATGTATGATCATCAACATGGACGAGAACCATAAACATAAAAAATAGATCAATTTTCAATAAGGAATTCAAAATAACAGTTAAAATGTGGTTGGTCGTGTGTATTAATTTTTGGAACCAAGACTATACCCATGAACCAGTAAATAAGGATGATAATGCAGCTTCAACTTTGATGTTAAACGAGCAGGATCTTAATATTTTTCAAATATCTACTAGCAGAAGTAAAAGCGCATAAATTTATATCCAGTGTGTATCCAAATGACTGATCTCTTGAAGTCATTAAGCTTGATCAAACATTATCTAGATGAGATATACAGAAAATACAAAATCCAAAATTTCAAAAACAACTAAATATTGCCAAGTTCAAGAGAATATGATACAAGGGACTATACCATTTGGACAATACATCCACAGGCATCTCATATCCATATCTGAACCGAAACTCAGCTGCTTCATTCCTTGCTTGTTGGACCAAGGTCCTTGCATCAGCTGAAGAGTGGAAATGCCAATTATCATCAGTGTGAAAAGTGATATATCATTATAGCCCAGAATCCCTTACATCCCCAAAACCTTGATTCACTAGTTCAACAAACAATTATTAAAAAAAACTAGTCAACAAAACAAAGATATTGGCAATTCGAACAAATAATATCTAAGAAAAATATGTACCAAAATAAAAAAATGGTATTTAGCAAAACATAAACCTGTCATGCCAGTAGCCAATAATCCAAGGAACTTGGTAATAGGGAAAAGATGAGTGACACTAGTCTGATCCAATAGCTTGTCCTGCATAGCATTATTCAAAATTAAATACCCAAATCGAAGAAAACCCTTAAAATCACTTTAATCCCAAAATAAAGAAGTAAAGGAAATGTAAATGGGAGAGTACGGACGGGAACTTTCTTCTGGGTAACAACACAGACAAAATCTTTTCCTCGAACACCAATGGATGTGATCCCAGCTGCTTTCACTGCCTTAAACGCATACTCTGCTCAGTTTATTCCAAAATCAAAATTTTGAAACATATAATAACAATAATAAAGTTCTTCCAGATTCCAGAATAATAAAGTTAAAATACACATACCGACTAGGAAAAGACGACCTTCAGGAGAGAAGATTGTGATATGGCGATCGTAGCCGCCTCCACTTCCTCGGCTCATCTTTTTTTTTTTTTGAGATTCTAATTCAGCGAATTGATAAGCAAAGAGAGCTGTTTTCTCCTACAGATTTACGACTCTTTTTCAAGTAAACTCGCTGAAGAAGAAAACTTACCTACTTCCTAAAATGACCTCTATTTCAAGTAAACTCGCTGAAGAAGAAAACTTGCCTACTTCCCAGAATGCCATTCTTTTATTTTTTTTTTTCGATTTTCTTTTCTGCCTTCTTGAAATTTGAAATTTGACTTGTCTTCGATGTTGATTTAATTTTCATAAACTTCGATTTTTGGTAGGACAAATATGTATTTGATTCAAGTGTATTTCCATTTCATAAAGTAAGACGACGTAATTATTTTATTTGAATGGCATCTTAAATAGGTAAATGTCAATCAGATTTAAGTTTTAATTTTAACGATAATGAATACTCAATCAACGTCCTAATTATTCTCCAACATCAGCTTCTAGAGTTTGAAAAATAATTGTTAAATCTCATATTCTATTTAAGATTAAGATCTTTGTTTGGAGAGTGACGCATGGTGAGTTGTCGGTTGGTAAGCGTTTACGTGACAATCTATGTCTAATGTGCAGCTTGGAAGAAGAGACGGTAATTCATATTTTGAGGGATTGCTCTTATGATCAAGAAACTTTTTTGCACAGGTATGTTGGGGATGTTCTTGTTTAGCCAACTTGTTTCTCCATTAAATTTGTTAGATTTGGTGAATACTAATGTGGATCGGGTTGGCCTTGCTTGCTTTCTTGTATTGCTCTGTAACCTCTAGAATAGGAAGAATTCCAAAGAGCATGATAACAAGATTCAACCTCCATAGATACAAGCCATCAATGCTGCCTCCTTTCAGCATGACAACCTATTGATCAAGAAGCATGTGTCAGGGAGAGTGAGGATTTTGCAGTCTTCTCCAAGAGTAGCTTTGTGTATTGCTCGGGCGAAGTGGTAACCTCATCCTTCAGTTACGTGAAGATCAATATGGATGGTGCTTTTGAGTCTATTGGTAGTATAGAGGTTGTGGGGCTTATTGCTTGAGATTACGTTGGACAGGTACTTGGCCGCATGACTGCATCGACACCGGGTTGTGTTGAAACTGGACTTTCGGAGATTCATGCCCTGAATGCAACATTTTCTATGGCAAGTGAGAATCGGTGTAAGCATGTAGTCTTTGAATCAAATTCAATGCATGTAGTCAACAAGATGTCTCGATCGGAAGAGGATTTGTCCACGCTAAGTTATCATCTTCGGGAAACTAGCACGTGAATCTGAATCACATGCCACGAGAAGCTAATAAACTGGCTGATTTTATGGCAAAACTAGGCAGAGGTGCAACGCTTGGACTCTCCATTTTCCAGCGTCCTCCCTTGGATGCTTAAAGCATTCTCCAATCTGAGATACGTTTCTTGAGAAGAAGACCCCTTCGCTGCTAATGCAGTGTCATCTTTGTAACAAAAAATAAAATAGAGTTTTGTTCCTAGAGCTTGTAATATTGTGGCACATACTTTGGCTAAGTGGACTCTCCGTTCTGGAAATGCCTTGTATTTTGACTCGATTTGTCTCGAGATTATTATGTTTGTTGTATCCAATGATTTTTTTCCTGGTAATACAAGGTTCTAGGCACTCTTTTACCCTTATAGGTCCTAGAATGAGTTTTTAATGTGACCCATATTTTTTAAATAATAATAATGAATACTCGATTAACAAATATTTAAATGAAATTTTAATTCTATTCGAGTCATTTTGCATTCCCAAGCTGATATTTGAGGTTATATTATCTATTTGAAGGGTGCCAATTTAAACCCCAAAATATCATAAAAGCAGCAGATACAACACTGAAAATATATTAAAATACAACCTTCAAATATGTTTGGAAAACTCACATTTTATTCGTGTTAAAATGTATAGCTAGAGATGCCAACTTCACACCGTAGATTTGCCCGGCGCCTTCTCTATGAAACCCTTGATGTCAAAACCATCCTTCATTTCATTCTTTTAATCACACCCTGCTTAATTTTTTTTTGATAAAAGTTGGAAATCTCATTAAAAACTCCTTTCGTATTCGTCAACATACTAAGAAATATGTTAACGAACATTAGAAGGAAGAAAAGAGTACCTCATAGTTTATTGAATAGAACACGTAATACATATGAGAGTCGGCAAGACATCGTCCTTTCCGTGTAAGTAAATATATTCCGACTCGAACTATAAAAACCTTACATTTATGAGAGTCTGTTCATGCATATTTTGTTGCCATTGGTTGGAATTTATATTCGATGATTAACTGTGGAATATTTTATGAACTTGTGTTTAAATTCTATACCACCTTTAATTTTTCGCCGCGTCGTCTTCTCAATGTTAATTCGTCCGATGTCGTTACATTCCAACTATGCAAAAGTTATTTTTCAATGTCTATATCGAAGTTTAATCTTGCTATAGGATTCGTGACGAATGTCACGAATCATGCGTATTTAACTGATTTACTTGAGATTCCGCAGGATTTTGATGCCGATATAGCCTATGAGACTCTTACCGGCTTGGCTGGCCACACGTTCAACGCTCGCTCGACTCGAGCTCATTTTATCCATGACCTGACTTTACGCTACATCCACCGCTTCCTCGCCTATAATTATTCCGGGCGAAATGACTCGTCCTTCTCCTTGAGCCGAGTTCAACTATTCTTTTTATGGTGTATGTCAGCCGACCAACGAGTGAACTTGGGATTTTGGTTTTCTCGGGCCTTTGAGATTGTTATTCGATCCAATCGTCCACTTATCCTTGACTCTTATATTGCTCATTTAGCTTATCGCATCGCTAATTTTGATGTTACATGATTTACTTATGCTTTTTCTACAGATGCTTTGGATGAGCCACTACAGCAAAACAAAGTTTGCGGCGTTTTTTAGTCCTATAATGGCGTTTTTAAGCGCCGCTAAAAGCACTTGCGGTTATTGAAAAACGCCGCAAGAAGCGCCGGCCATACCAGCACCGCTAAAGTTTGCGGCGTTTGAGAACAAAAAACGCCGCAATAGGTCAAGATCTATTGCGTCGTTTTTTGGAACAAACGCCGCAAAAGGTCGAGATTTATAACGGCGTTTTTCCAAAAATGCCGCAAAAGGTCAGATCAATAGCATCATTTTTTGAACAAATGCCACAAAAGGTCAGATCTATAGCGGCGTTTTTAGATACAACGCCGCAAAAGGTCGAGATCTATAGCGGCGTTTTTTGTTCTCAAACACCGTAAAAGGTCAGATCTATAGCGGCGTTTTTGGATACAAACGCCGCAAAAGGTCGAGATCTATAGCGGCGTTTTTTCCAAAAACATCGCAAAAGGTCAATATCTATAGCGGCGTTTTCAGAACAAACACCACAAAAGATCAAGATATATAGCGGCGTTTTCAAAATAAACGCCGCAAAAGGTCAGATCGATAGCGTCATTTTTAGAACAAACGCCGCAAAAGGTCAGATCTATAGCGGCGTTTTTGGATACAAACGCCGCAAAAAGCCATATCTATAGCGTCGTTTTTGGAACAAACGTCGTAAAAGGTCATATCTATAGCGGCGTTTTTATACAAATACCGCGAATTAAAACTACTTTTTCAAATGTTGTTTTCTACTCTTTTGTTACCCAAATTTAAAATGTTAACATGTAGCATTATTCAATAAACTTGACATCCATAACATCAAACTTGAAATTCATAACAAGAAACTTGAAATTTATATTAATAAATCAAAGTTTACATTAATGTAGTTCAACATTGTTAATTAGAATAAACAATAATATGACCAATAACCACCAAAAAGTATAACAATACTCAAATCCAAAAACCCTTCACAAAATAGTTGACAATCCCACAGTTTCCCCCTCATCGATTCTATTTTCCGAAGCATTGAGTGAACTGCGTGGCCTTGCTGAAAGGTGGAACATAATCAAATTAGTCAGGACATGCCACAGAACATTAAAGAACAATAAAATCACAAACATCAGAGCAGACCCATTTTTCCAGGAGTGTCGCCTTAAATACAATTGGAAAACACTCACAGTTGTAAAGAACAAAGAAAACATTTTACAGTGAAAAACCAATTACAACAAAGAAAAAGAAAACATTTTACAGTTGCAATGCAGCATCAAGTTGAATCCCCTTAGGAAGCATGAAACTTAGAGTTATGGACATAGTGAAACCATCAATGAACAACATTGTAATCGCATTTTATTAACAATTCATTTTAACATTCATAAAAACTAATCCTATCACAACTGCAAACTTAACTTCTCTTGAACAATTAACATTAAACAACTCTGAGCTTAATGATTAACAACCAACTAGAAAATAAAACAAATATGCAAGGACGTCCCAAAATGAAGAAGAAAATGAGGAAAGGTACCTGAAGTGCAGCATACCAAACTTTCGAAAATTTGACATCATGCAATATCCCAATTACCAAATACAGCATTGCAAGGCTGGATATATATGAATTATTTGTGATGAGAAAGCATATGCTTTCTTTGTTGGAAATGAAATTATATGCACAAATTTGTATCAATACTTGCATTATTTGTAATCAAAAAGTCGGATTCAGATAAGAAAGGAGCTAAGAACAAAGGAGAAAATTCAGATCAGAAAAGCCGGTTTGAGAATAAAAAATCAAAAGAACCTTTTTTTCTTATTTCTTATTTGTAATCAAACTCTAGATTTAAGAAAGAAACAAAAATAAAGCGAACAGAGTGACATTTGCAATTCAAATAGACAGGAAGCGATCGTACCTTTTAGGAAAGACAAAACTGGGAACTGCACCTGTGATGGAGTCTTCGGTTTGACATCTGAAAATAAGAACGAAAATCAAAATGAAAATGACTGAAACAATTATTTGAAGTAACCATGATTATATGGTGCCATTTAGAGTCTCATCAATACTCTGAATTCTAATGACAAGTAGGCTAAATAATGAAACACATTATAGATAGGTTCTTTATAGAGTCATAAATCACATAATATGCTTCCATGAAAGCAATCCGGTAAAATAGTGGTAGTAAACAACCACTGATGATTTGGGAAGTATTTTCTTACAGAATTTTGGAGTGGAACTAGAGTTTCCTGGATTTTTCACTAAATAACAACTGCCGACC